AGATGTTACCGCCAAACTAATTCTTTTTGTTTAGAATAGACATCAAACACATGGCTGAACCCTGATTGGATCAGGCGCTAATGGACTCGGCATACAGGAGTGACTTGTCAGTTTTCGCTAAAGAGCGAAAAGAGAAATTTTTGGGTTGCAAGAAATGATTCAAAAACTTTTTATTATCCAAACTCTTGAATTTGAAATCCTGCTAGATTTCAAATATAAAATGAAATTTAATTAGTTTAATATCGTATAATCATTGAATATGCTTTAAGATTAAGCTTTGGTCAATTAATACACTTTTAAATGTTAAAAATATTATGACTTTTTAAACCTCGTTATATCTCCTTCTCTATCTATCATATTTAGTTATACGTGTTAATCTATCTATCTATCTTGTTTAATTGACCCTCTCTGACCGGAAGAGGCAAGGCTGGAATGTGATAACACGTGTTCCGTCCTATCCATGCCGCGGTAAAATTCAAACCTCGGTCTTTGCATCTCAGTCACACCGGGGTAAGTTTTAAAGTTTGGACTGTTTATTATTCCTCTTGAATGTACTGTTCCTTCTATCCTCCCAAAAATGTAAATTTAAATCAGTTGAAACAGAACTTATTTTAACAAACATTTTACAGTTTCGATGCTCGAATCGCAGATGTGTTCTTGAAGCATTTCTCTCCTTAAGTTATTGTTGTTTTTCATTTCGACGTCGTGTATTATCCTAATAAGCAGGTCGTGGATTTCTGAAGTTATGACTAGCACAAAAAAGTCTCAAAGTCTCAGCTGTTCAACATCCTGAAAAGATACTTTACAATATTTAGATACTCCAAAACTCAGTAACCTTTCTTTTGTAAAGGTTGTGTTTTTTTTTTGAGCCAAGGGTCATTTTGAATTTCGTTGAAGATCCTTTTGATAAATTTAGATGTTTAAATTATTCCTAAAGTCTTTTAAAGAATTACGCGGCGTGTAAACTCCAAGAAGAATACCCCGGCGTGTTTAACTTAAACATTTTACAGGCATGTGCCATATTTTCTACTTCACTGAACACTGTAGTTTCTACATTCAAAGGGAAATTCATGGATACATGTCAAGATAGTTAATCAGTTAGATAGTTACAAAGATAGATATACATATGAAATATATGTAATAATGTAATATGTAACTATACCTGCAAGTCAGATATATGTTTTCTGTATGTAATAATGTACTATGTAACATAGCTGTAGTCAGATATATGTTTTCTGCATAAGTAATAATGTACTATAGATATAACATAGATCTAGTTATAATATATGTGTTTTCTTGACGTAATAATGTACTGAAACTTATCTAGTATTTTGTATGTAATAATGTACTCTGTTTCATGAACTTTACAGTCAGCTATATGTATTCTGTCAGTACTATGTAACACATTATAGTTAAATGTGTATTTTTTATGCACTATGTAACATGTCTTTTCAGATATGTATATATATTCTGTATGTAGGGCTGTTAATCGTTTTTAAAAAGATAGTTTTTCGTTTCGTTTTCATTTTTTTCTAAGAACAATCGTTTCGTTTTTGAAAACGAACCCTTTGTCTTGAAATTTTAACAATCGAAAAACAAACGTTTTTTTTTAAAAACGAAAATCTATCGTTTTTTTAAACGATATTTTAAAAAAACTATCTGTTTTTAAAAACGATAATTTCGTTTTTCGCTTTATCTTCGTCGTTTTTTAAACGAAACGATCGTTTTTCAAAAAAGTGGGAACGATCCATCCTTATCTGTTTGCACTATGTAACATATTTAGCCAGAAATACAGGGTTACCCACAAAGAATGAGCCTTGAGACACGACTGTATGTATTCAGCCATTTTCTTAAACTCCTGGTGCAACACTTTTGTTTTCATCTCTGCCAGATTATTAATAATATCTTTTAAAACTTCATTAAGTACAAAAACCCGAATTCAGCCTTCAGATCGGCATATCCAAATAGTTTTAGGTCTTAATTAAAGTATCATCCTTTGTGGGTAACCCTGTAATATTCTGTGAAAATATAATAGTCTGTATACAAACTACTAAAGTATATATATACATATATATATATAATATATTAAAAAAAAATGTTAGTTCTTGACGCCTAATTTTAACTTTATCGGGAAAAATGAATTTTAATAAACCCGCTAAAAAAGCTTGCAAATTAAAAAAATAGATATACATAACATGTGACATTTTTATTATTTTTGGGTTTAGTTATACGTACATTTTTCCTTGCATCTTCCTAAAAACAAAATTAACGAATAATTACATACGGAAAGATAAACAAGATTACTATGCACGTATTTGTGTAACATACTTATTATTCAGTACTCTTTACACTCTCTAAACATCAAGTTCAATGCATGACAACCCCCCCCCCCACCCCCACCCCTTCAACTCTGATGAAATCTAAGGGGTAATGAATTAATTAAGCAGGTTATAGAGAGTTGATTACAGAGCCGGTTAGTTGAATGACAATTTTGTTAAATTTTGTTGTGCAATAGTATTCTTTTGCATAATACGTGAAGAAGATAGTGTTTTCATCAATTAGGTGTAAAAATAAATTTTCCTTGAAATCTTAAAAGAGACCTCCGACTCAATGTACAATGTACATCTTAATGACATTCATAACAACCGTTTTAACATTTATCAGTATATCTGACTTTTAACAAGAGTTTCAAGTTATGTAAAGAAAAGGTTTAAAAAGAATGTTGGTTTTTAATGGATTAATGGAGACACAGCTTCATATGTCTTTATTATACACAATTTTAAAAAATATGCTAAAACTTTTTGCTAACTTTTCTCGGCCCCCTACCAGTGATCCCATACTATTTCCTTCCCCCTTTTAAGCGATCTCTAATTTATAGCCCTTATTTTGTTTGGCAAAATTTTGCATAAAAGTTAAATCCAAGGTTAATTGGAGGAGAAAATCTAAACCTGGTAAACCTTTTCTGTTCACAGATCAAATATCATGTCGCTGTAAATACATATATGAAGGATTTATAATAAAGCTATTCTAATAATTAAGTAGCAATCAGTTAAATAACATAGAAATGTTTCTCTTTAAAACAAAATTACGTTAGGTAAACGAAAAATCATAATTAGGTTCATATCTGATATTATTGTTATGTTATCTTGTCTACGCTGTAAAAGTCTCTGGAATAGAGCTTGTAACCGGAGCATCCTGGACTAACCAGGGCTAGATGAATTCGGTTTCTTGGAATTCAATCCCGTTTTACTCTAAATTCAACAATCTTAAAACTTACAGAGTTGTCTAATTCAACTTTTTCATTTCAAACGAAACAACGAACAAAATCGTATAACAGAGAAACAACGAGAAAACGATGTTTAGTTGTTCAAATTGGGATCGAAAGTGACAGCTTGCTGGTACTAGAGTCGAACCGTTAAATCAGTAAGGGTGGACCGCTGTGTTCGGTCTTCTCCTGTATATGGATATGGATATATGGTCTGTTTATAGGTGTGATGATTTGAAATATACAGGTGAGCATAATTTATAAAATATCGCACAAATATGGAAGGGACTGAAAAACATGCATGTACACTGTACAGGTTATGTGTGTACTCGCCCATTAGTACAATTTACAATGTACATGAGACAACATGAAATATCAAGTACTAATTAAGTGTTTTATTCCTAAAATACCGAATGTATTTTTTTCATTCAAGATGGCCGATTTACGAATCAGTAAAATCATTTCTTGTGTTAAGTTCCCAGTTTTATTTTTGAAAATCTACGAAATCTTTGCAATGAGAGAAATGTTTAAAAACTAGCAGACGATGTTCTTCACGTTTATGTATACTAAACTGTAACCTTACAATACATGAAATCATCTATTCTTCTGCAACACTGGTATTTTCCCTAGTTTCCGCTTCTATTTCCCCAATCCTTTTAATAGTCCCCCCCCTTCAATAGTATCCTCCCCCTCACCCTTTCCTTCAGTTGTTTAGCTAGGACCCCCTCCCCCGCAAATTCCCCACATTTCCGCTAACCTACATATTTAAATACCCCCATATACTCCGTACTTCCTTTTTCCCTCTTCTCTTGACATCCTCAATTCCCCTTCACATCCTCTCCTTCCCTCCTTACATCCTTCCCTTCTCACATCCTTCCCTTCTCACATCCTTCCCTTCCCTTCTCACATCCTTCCCTTCCCTTCTCACATCATTCCCTTCTCTTCTCACATCCTCCCCTTCCCCTCTCACATCCTCCCCTTCCTTCCTCAAATCCTAACCTTCCCTCCTCACATCCTTCTCTTCGCACATCCTTCCCTTTCCCTCTCAGATCCTCCCCTTCCTTCCTCACATCCTTCTCTTCGCACATCCTTCCGTTCCCTTCCAACATCCTCCTCTTCCTTTCTCACATCCTCCCCTTCTCATATCCTTCCCCTCCTTTCTCACATCCTCCCCTTCCTTTCTCACATCCTCCCCTTCCCTCCTCACATCCTCCCCTTCCCTCCTCACACCCTCTTCTTACCCCCTTATCACCTTCCCTCCCCAGCCCTCATCTCGTTCACAATCAATATTTCCATTCTCCGCAAAAAGCGTACGAAATGTCAAAAAATTTTTAATCCCTATCTATATCTGATGATGGAAACCTTTGATATTTCTAACCTCAACCTTTGATCTATCGGAATTGTGATTTTGTGATATCAAATGACCACAAAGTTCACAACATTAGGTTGCAAAGGTAAAAAATTAAAATAAAATATTTTTGTTTTACTACGTTTTTTCTTATCCTTTCCACCTCAATTCTTCTCATTCATTGGTATTCAATTCTTTCTTGTTTACGTTGACGAATATTTATTTTAATTTTTGTATTCTAATTCATATTCTCATTCTTCCTAATATGTATATGAATTCCCTTAAGAAAATTAAACTTATAAATTTTTTGGGGGGTTCTGCACTCTCTTTCTTTATTCATACTCAGTCCTGTCTATTATTTTTTTAAATTTTTTTTTAAGTTTTCAGTTTTCTTAAATAATTTTATTTAGAGTATATGCATGTATAATAATCTGAAGACTAGAAAGATTTCAACGAAATCTTCAAGAAATATTACAATTTACTGTAATTATCACAATATCCGCTAATAAACTAGTTCAGCGGCTGAAGAGGATTCAGGTTCCCATAATGAAAACAGTTTTACAAGCTGATCTGCTAAAGTCAGCAGAAGCCTACCATTTTTCTGATTCTTCATAGATCTTTTGTTTTAACTTTTCTTCTCTGTGTTTCAATGTGAGTGGAATATTTTGAAGAATCTTTTTCAAATTGTCCTGGGAACGTTAAGGGATGTCAGGAACTATCTGGGAACGTTAGGGGTGTCAGGAACTGTTTGGAATCGTCGAGGAACTTCAGGGACTTTCAAGAACTCAACTGGGACCGCATGGGGATTGTTTGAGAACAGTTAAGGCTGCCAGGAACTGATAGATACAGTAAAGTATGTCAGGAAATTGGAACAGAAAGGACTGACAGGAACTGATCGAAAAATTAAAGTTGGTCAGAAACTGATTGGAGCAGCAAGGACTGAAAGGAACTGATGGAAACAGCAAAGGTTGTCAGAACTGATTGGAACAGCAAGGACTGAATGGAACTGATTGAAACAGCAAAAGCTGTCAGGGGCTGATTGTCTCGAAAATGCATTGGCTTGTTGAAACTGTCAGAAAAATTATTTGAAACTAATTGAAACTGCCTTAAACTCCATGAAACTGCTTGAAGCTGTTTGAAACTGCATGGAACTATTCGAAACTGCATGGATATGCTTGAAACTTCATGGAACTGTTTGAAACTGCATGGAACTGTTAAAACCCCCATGGAACTGTTTAAAACTGCATGGAACGGCTTGAAACTGCATGGAACTGCTTGAAACTGCTTTAAACTGCTTGAAACTGCTTGGAGCTCCTTGAAAATTCTTAAAACTGTCCGGAACTACTTGATGAGACTTCTTAGAACTTATGTAATTTTATAACTGCCTGGGAAAATTCTGTAAAGTCCAAAAATTAGTTATGAATGGCTCTGCCTAGTCTGATCTGGAAATCTCTGTATAGAAGTTTACCACCGAGAGGAACTCTGGAGATAAACATGTTCAGGGACATCAGGCACACTGCCTTACCGTTCATCAGGAACCTGGATAGATAGATAGATAGTTAGAAAAATTTATTAAAACAATAAAAACTAATTCTACTGCAATAAAAAACTTTAAATTTTAAAAATGTAAGTGATAAATTACCTGTCAGTGTTTGGAGCTGGTAGATTGTGATTGGAGCAAGTATGGAGAACCCAGGAGCAAACCTCGTCTCTGCTCCACAATCTTGGATCTTTAGAAAGATTCTGATTTTCGAACTTGTTTTCTTTCTTAAGGTTTAAAGGTTCAAGAGGATACATCTCGACCTCCTCCTCTGTATACACAGGTTTACAGTTCTCCGTATAAACAGGTCGAGCAAACCAAGGAACCTCGAGGTTAGAGGATATTCCGAACATTGTATCAGGGACAACTTGATTATTCATTCCGTACCGACCTTTCGGGTTCAGAGTTGGAGATTAACTGACAGGATGAGAGGGATTCAGGGAATATTTGGTGAAGGAAGGAAGTCGGGGACGGTACAAATCTACTTCCGGTCTTACTGTATATTTTGTACTGGCACGGGGCTAGGAGGCAGCTTTATCCTGGGCTGTTGAACGAACGTGCCAGGCCAAAACCAATTTCTTTAGCACTGGCACGGTTTTAGTTCCCCACCGCACAGGCGTTAATAAATTGTACTTGACTGGCAAAAAGTTGTGGTTTATAATCCAAGTTTCAGTTCAAACAAACATATATCCAGTTCAACCAATATATTCAGTTCAACCAAACATATATTCAGTTCAACCAAACATATATTTAGTTCAACCAAACATATATTCAGTTTAACCAAACGTATATTCAGTTTAACCAAACATATATTCAGTTCAACCAAACATATATTCAGTTCAACCAAACATATATTTAGTTTAACCAAACATATATTTAGTTTAAGCAATCATTTATTCAGTTCAACCAAACATATATTCAGTTCAACCAAACATATATTCAGTTCAACCAAGCATATATTCAGTTCAATCAAACATATATCCAGTTTAACCAAACATATATTCAGTTTAACCAAACATATATTCAGTTTAACCAAACATACATTCAGTTCAACCAAGCATATATTCAGGTCAACCAAACATATATTCACTTCAACCAAACATAAATTTAGTTCAACAAAACATATATTGAGTTCAACCGAACATATATTCAGTTAAACCAAACATATGTTTAGTTTAACCAAACATATATTCAGTTCAACCAAAAATATAGTTTAACCAAACATATATTCAGTTTAACCAAACATATATTTAGTTCAACCAAACATATATTTAGTTTAACCATTCTGTATTTACATTGACAAAATTATCAAGTTATTACGATGTTCAACTATTGGATGCCAAATCTAGGGTGTCTATATGGGCATTTGGGTATATGCAGATGATATTATTCTGCTTTCTCCTAGCAGAACAGGTCTTCAGGAAATAGTGAAAATTTGTGAACATTTTGCCAAAGCTACTAAACTGAAATTTAGTACAAATATTCGAATCGAAAAATGTAAAACTAAATGCCTTATTTTTTCTAAAGAAAGGATTAATTATAATGAAATAACCCCAATTTTATTGAATGAATTACCTTTACCATTTGTTAACGACTTAAAACATTTAGGAAATGTTCTTCAAAGTGATAATTCAATGACCATAGATTGCAATAAAAAACGAGCTATTTTCATTTGAAAAATTCATTCCCTTAACCAAGAAGGATTTTATTTTAACAGTCCTGATGTTATTTTGAAACTGTATAATATTTACTGTTGTAGTTTTTATGGATCTAGTATTTGGGACTTGAGTTCCCAATGTGTTTCAAAATTGTATACAGCTTGGAATACTGCTATTAGAATTTTTTTTAATGTACCTAGAGATACGCATAGGTACTTGATTGAAAGTATTTCACAATGTTTACATGTAAAAACTATGTTAGCTAGCAGATGTGTGTCTTTCTATGAGACTATTGAAGCAAGTTCTAAGCTTTGCATTAGATTTCTTTCTAATTTATGTAAAAATGACCTCAACACAGTTCTTGGCAGAAATTTATTTTGTATTGCAAATGATTGTTCTGTAAATCCTTTGGATCTTAGTAAATGTTCGTTAAGAAACAAATGAAATATTTTGATGTCCCATTGGAACATGAATGGAAAGTTCCGGTGTTACAAGAACTTCTAAATACAAGAATGAATAATTTATATGTTGAAGGATTCGATGATTACGTAATAACTGGAATGATAAATATGTTATGTAATGAGTAAAAGTCAATCTTTTCTATTTGCGCATAATTTTGCATATGTTTTCTCTTTTCTTTTGGAAACCTGTATTTTCAAAAAAAAATTTATTCAAACAAATTTAAACTACACCATTTATATTATTTATATCTTTGTGTGCGAATAAATCTTTATAATATAATAATATTCACTTTAACCAAACAACTAGTTAAACATATATTCAGTTTAACCAAACATATATTCAGTTTAACCAAACATATATTTAGTTCAACCAAACATATATTTAGTTTAACCAAACATATATTCAGTTCAACCAAACATACATTCAGTTCAACCAAACATATATTCAGTTCAACCAAACATATATTTAGTTTAACCAAACATACATTCAGTTCAACCAAGCATATATTCAGGTCAACCAAACATATATTCACTTCAACCAAACATAAATTTAGTTCAACAAAACATATATTGAGTTCAACCGAACATATATTCAGTTAAACCAAACATATGTTTAGTTTAACCAAACATATATTCAGTTCAACCAAAAATATATTTAGTTTAACCAAACATATATTCAGTTCAATCAAACATATATTCAGTTCAAACAAACATATATTCGATTCAACCAAAAATATGTTCAGTTCAACCAAACATATATTCAGTTCAACCAAACATATAATTAGTTCAACCAAACATACATTCAGTTCAACCAAACACTAATTCAGTTCAACGAAACATATATTCAGTTCAATCAAACATATATTCTGTTCAACCAAACATATATTCAGTTCAAACAAACATATATTCGATTCAACCAAACATATATCCAGTTCAACCAATCATACATTCGGTTCAACCAAACATATATTCAGTTTAATAAAACATAAAGGGTGTCTAAAAAAAACTGGGAATAAAGTGTCTACAGACTGGTTTGAAATCTTTGAAAACTTTAGAAGCCTTTAAAATTGTCATTTTTAGATCTACAAGCCTAAATTGGGCTCATTGACGGAAATTGTACGCAGATTTTAAAAACGGTCTTAATCTTTAAAATCTTATTACAAAGGAGTCTGTATACTCTTATTACCCGTTTTTTTTAGACAACCTGTATTTTCTGTACAACCAAACATATATTCTGTTTAAACCAGACATTATCATCATTGTTCTCAGACAAAGCTATTTATTTGGTTGTGGTTGTGAATCGGGCAGCAATTTAAATGGGGTCCCTTAAAAACAGACCCACAGTACCTTTGACAATTTTTTCTTGAATTCCAAAAATCTAAAGATTTCTTTTTCATGATATTAACAAAAATACAAGAAAAATGAGAAAAAACGCCTAGACTATGCTAAGGAAAGTGTACAAAATAAGTGAATGCGGGAGGAAGTTCAACGTATAGGATATCCTACTATAGCTAAACCCGGAGAGAGGAAGGGAGAGAGAGAGAGAAAGGAAATCCAACAGAAAGGATATCCTTCCTAGCTTCAAGGATCAGTATAAACTCTGAAATGAATATATCTTCAGAAATATAAACCTTTTCATTCTAGAGCCAAACCTTTAAATATAAAGATATATAGTAAGTGCAACCAATTATGGAATATAAAAAAGATCAATTTCCACTTTACCGACAAAGAAATTGTTAAGAAGTTTCAGAAATTTATTGCCATATTCTAAATTTTTACAAATATTTACGATTGTAAATATTAAAACAGGGAAACTTATTTTGTTTTACAAAGCTTTTGGGTCGAGCACAGCCATGGTCTGAGAATGTGTTGATTTATAAAATGAGGAGTTCGATTAGTGACATAGATACGTCTGTTCTTAACTGTTGTTTAGGGCCACTGCAAACAGAAAGAGAAGATCAATATTTATGCAACTTTATTGGAACTACTTTGTGACCTTGTAGCTCCTCTGGTTTGGATTTTGCACACAATACTGAAGTTCACCCCGTTCAAAATAGTTCTTCTCCGTGGCCCTTCAATAAATGGAGTTATGATTGAAAACATATAAGATTTCAATTTTACGTACAATTCACTTTATTTACCCGTGTGGCGCGCCAGTACGTTTTCCCAAAAATGTCTTCATCCAATTCAACAAATCTTTAATAGTTTTACGATTTCTATTTTCTGAACTGAAATTTGTATAAATACACTATTTTACATAATCATGTAGATATACATTTATATAGATTTTGCGCGGGAGTTTACCCAGATCTGTAAATATATTGTAGCTCTGTGTCTGTACCGGATTCAGCATATCTAAGTTTTCATCCCTCTTTTAAAATCCTTCAAAAATACCGTAAAAGACTTCAAAAGTGCATATACTTCAGTCACACAGAATCTATTTCCTTATAAAAAGTCTCATCAATTTTTAAGACAGGGTCGACTTTAAAGTGTCGCAACGTCTTGGGCTCTAACTCACTTATGCTTTTCTGTAGCCCTTTACTTGTACATTTTAGCACTATAATTTATAGTCTATAAAACACTTGTTGGTAACTTTGGTTTTCAAAAAGTAATTGTCAAATTCTCATCGATTTTTGCTTGAGAGCTTGCAACCTTTAAATCATAGTGTAGTATTAAAAACCAATATCCAAAAAGAGTGAAAAAGAATTATTTGCATTTTTTGAACGAACACAGGGTTTAATGTATACTTTGCAGAACCGTTTATTTTCGTACACAAAAATGATAAACAATAAATTAGGACATGAAGATATATCCAAGATATTGGTGATCTATATCTTTCAATGTCTATTTTTCTTAAACTGCTGCTGGAAGGGACATTCAACAAAAGAAAAAACGGAAAATAAGGTGACAAGAAGAACTATAACAGAATATTTCTGTAGTGTACACAGTTTCACGAGTTAAAATGGATTGTTGACATAGTTTGAAGTTATCCCTGATTTAAAGAGCTGCGTGCCTGATTCACAATGATACCCTTGAAATTAGTATCTCAGCAACAGTGCAATGTTGTTAATCAGCCCCTTTTCCTAGTATAATGTTGTTAATCAGCCCCTTTTCCTAGTATAATGTTGTTAATCAGCCCCTTTTCCTAGTATAATGTTGTTAATCAGCCCCTTTTCCTAGTATAATGTTGTTAATCAGCCCCTTTTCCTAGTATAATGTTGTTAATCAGCCCCTTTTCCTAGTATATTGTTGTTAATCAGGCCCTTTTCCTTTTAAAGTGTTGTTAATCAGCCCCTTTTTGTAGTAAAATGTTGTTAATCAGG